CGTGACTTGGTATTGTATGCACTAACTATTCACTTGTCGTTATTTTCCCACCTTGAATTTCTTTGGAAAAAATAATCTCATTTGGAATTAGCAACAGGAACAATTTCCAGACTGAGGGCTGTCTTGTGCTAGAAGCTTGATAAACTTAGAGATTATTTGGCTTGTGTTGTCTGAGACTTCTGGGATCTAGTTTAAGCTAAGCATGTGATAATTAAAATAGTTTCTTAGTGATGGAGAATTTACTGCATCTTTTGACAATTCATCTCAGTAGCTAATTATACTTAAAACATGCTTTTTATCTCCAGATTGAACTTGCAAATATTGGATTCTGTTGTGTGTCTGCCCACTAATTTAAAGTCTTATGAAATATCTGCTTCTAGTCTAGTCCCTCAAAGATTATAATCTTCTCTTTGAAGCAAAATACATTTAGTTCAATGTCTCACTGCAAGGAGTCTTTTTTTCCAGACCTAAATTGTTCTTGTTGCTCTTCTCGGCACCCTTTCCAAGCTTATTTATTTTTATTTATTTATTTTAATTAAAGGTACTGTAGTTTCCCAGAGGCTTGCCTGCTTTGTTCACGGAGATGTTATGGTTTACTTGGCTTCATTCATGTGCACGTCTGCAGCTGTCCCCAGCCAAGCAAATGGTGCAAATCCTCATGCCCTCCCTCGTGGAGAGAGGTCTGACACCCTCGAACTGATGGAAAGAGAAGGCAGGTGTTACCCAGAATCCAACCTAAGGGTTTTGTTGTTTAACACCATTCAGAAGCTGCACCCAGAAATAAAGCAGGATCTCTTCCAAATGATCGTGTCTATTCTTAGATATAGCTAAATCTTATGATCATCATGGTAGGCCCGTGTGACGGGAGGGCCGTGTTCCAGGGCAGAGGTGATGAGGAATGCATAATGCATGCTTTGTCATGGGGGGGGGGCACCTCAAGGAGGAGAAGGCACAGCTTTCTGGATATACAAAGGAAAATAATAAGGTGTAACGCTCTTGCAGTTGTGCCAGCTGCTTTGCAGTCATAGGAGGGCAACAGCATTCGTACCCAAAGTGGGAGCAACACAAGTAATTCTGTCGTTTGCTGTCAGCCCACTCTCTGCAAGGAATGCAAATCAAACTCTAGGATTAGATGAACACTGATGCTGTCAAAGCAGTGTCCTGAAGGTGGGGGGTAAAAAAATAGATCCAAATAAGAGATGTCATGGGCTTCTCACAGGTAACCGCAGGAGCTGACCATCCTCACCCCATCGCTTCCAAGTCCTGCCAGCCCAGCTTCATGCAAGGGAGTGCTTTGAAATTACTTTCCTTGATTTCTTCTTTACCCACCTGACTTGCTAGACTAGTTGAAAATTTCCTTTTTTGTATCATTCTGTTAATGAAAATGAAGGAAAACTGGGTCAGGTGTGTGTGGGTGTGTCTTCATATAGAGAGAAAAAGAAAAAAAAAAAAAAGAAGAGGAAAAAGCTCACCAGAGAGGCTTGGAAGGAAATTTATGTTGAAAAGAAGGTAGTGTTGGAAAAAAAGTATGACTGTGATCCCTCTGTCTGTGGCTAATTTTTTTCATCAAACAGGCAGTAACAAATATTTGTGGTACCTGAAGACATGGAAAATACACTTTGAACTATTTGTTTTGTTCTAATTGCAGATGAAGAATTGTTCAGAAAATCTTTATTTTCTCAATCTTCTTTTGCCACTCTAACAACACAGACACAATAGGGCATTTCCAGGATCTACCAGTAATTTTCTCTCACTCAGTTTTGTTATAGTAAATGCATATGTGCATCTTAAGCTTTTACTTTTGGTACAGAAATGATTAAAGCATTATGTGGTCTCTTTTGGGGTTTTCATTTGGTCCTTGTTTAGGTAGGTTTCTGTTCCTGATCAAAGTTTTTATTAGTGAAGGAAAGGGCAGAAATATCTCTACGGATTTGCTGGGCTCTGCATGTTAGCATATGTTATGATGAAACACACAGAAGCCAAGCACTGACAATGCTCCAAAGCAAAATCAGTAGCAAAAAGCTGTACAACTATAAAACTCATGACACTTCCATAAAGTATGGCTTTTTAGTGTGGATGGGCTGACACTTTCTTACTATTTCATTTTTTATCTGATTTATTCAGTAAGGTGGAATGTCAGTGCAGGCTGAAATACTGTAGGTATCATCTCAAGAAGGGGTCTCTGCAAAGACAGACCTCAAACATTGCCTGATTTCTGTATTTAGTTCTGGTTATTACAATTAAGTCACTCAGAAGAGAGCACACAGCAAATATCCACAGTATTCAGAAAGTCTATGTTGATTTTGGGTTTGGTACTTTCTAATAGTTAATGTAATCCTATCAAGTTGGGTGGTGGGTTTTATTTTTTGGGGGGATAGGAACATGGGAAAAAAGCCCTCACACCATATTTAAAGCCACATCAACAAAGAACTTTACTCAAGGAGGAGACGTTAATAAGTAATGAAACAAAGGCTCTTTTATAGAGATTAAATGTACATGTGTCTAAGTACAAAGTTCGTGTTGCAAAGTGCAGCTGTTTCTCTGCTCACAGCCCCAAAGCCCTGGGTTCAAAGTCTGCCTGCTTTCCTGTCACAGAGCTGACCAGGGCAAGGTCTGGCCCAAGTTCAGAGTTCAGTGTCTGAGGGCCCGCTGGCTCTGCCAGCCGTGCTCTCTGACACGCTCAGGACAACCAGGAGTTGGCTTAAGATTATAAGTACAGACAACAAAAACTTCCTGTCCTCTTTTCTGATGTGTCAGATTTCATTAAAGAAGGGAAGTTCTGGATGGAGCGGCTGGAACGTTTGAAAGTAATGCCCTGTATAACAGAGCGACCTCACCAAACCCCATGGAAGGAGCAGGCCAGTGAGAGGATGCACGTGGGAAACAGCGCCCGTTCGCATTCTCCTTCCTCCTGAGGTTTCCTTAAATGAGGGAAAATGAAGTAAAAGAACTAATTATCTGTATCCAAAGAGATGAAGCTGAACCCTTTAAAAAAGAAACAGAAAAGAAAAAAGCCAGTCTATGTGTTTCCTTTGTGTCACGATAACGGTGTTCCACACCATGGGGGTGAAGAGAACTTAATATGTCTGGATATCCTGCTTTCAAATCCTCTTTTTTCTTCTCCTTCAGAGGCTTTTTCGAAGCTAACCCCAACTTTCTTATTCATAAGGGCTGCAAACCCCACCTGTGCAGCTTTTTTGATTAGCTGTGGTCATATCAAAGGCTGCTGTATCCAAGCACAGACCCTGAGTGAGAATGGAGACTGACGGTTGAGAGCAAAGGCTGGTACAAACACCCTTGGAGGAATTTATATCTCAGGCAATGCTATAGCAGTATTACAGACAGAGGAAAGTTTCCTATCGGTTGCCACATCCTTTATCAAGGAAAGGATGGTAAACCATGGGTGGTAAACCAAGTCATCAGTGCTCAGTGCCCACAGCATGCTGCAGGTCTGAGCAGACTGCTGTCATCTCACTCCATTGAAAAGAACATGGATGTTCTGAAAACTTTCTCAAACATCAGAGGTCTGCCCCGTTTGTACTGCAGTTTCTATATGTCTGTGTTCAATAAATTTAATTATTGAGAGGCACAATTAAAATCAGGACTCAAGGAAGAACCGTAGTAGCCCAAAACGTGAGGTTTGGACCTAAAGATTTGTGTGTTTAGAAATGATGATTTTTTTCTTCCCTGCAAACATTCATAAGTCTGGCAAACACCAGAGGAGCTTTCCTCTGATGAGTTAGTCCTGTGCTTTGGTTATTATTTCAGGTCTAACCTCCCACTTCTGAGCAATGTATTTAAGAAACTGAGAGAGACCCTACAGTGAACACTCCAGACCACAGCTTGTAAGGGCTCAGATGGGTGCATGAACTACTTAGTGCTCAAAAAGGGGGGAAAAAAAGGCAGCCAAGGTCCAAAGATCCAAAATAATGTGTTATAATGTCTGAGACCTTCCTGGCAGATGCTGAGAAGTAGAAATAACAGGAACTGCACTTGTGATGTTCCATTCCTGTCCTGGCCTGTGGAAACTCCAGTATTGGGCTTTTTTTCTGTCACTCTTTGCTGGCTCTGTGCAACCACTGCAGTGAATAGATAAGTCACTGAGACTAATATTAAGTAGTGACACTGGCAGAGCATACCCATAATCAGTTTGTTTGGTCTGCACTGATGCAAATCTCTGACATAGCAGTGATGGTGAGTAACATTTTCTGTTGCTCCCACTGCTGAAGTTCTGCCCCAGTCTCTGGCCTCTCTTTGCTTGGCTGATTATACCTGGCCTTGGAATCTTTGTTTCCTAAGAAACTCTGACTAGAGCCACTACCCTCCCCAGCACTTCAGGCTGCTGTAAACATACAAAAGGTGGGGAGAAGATGATAAAATTAACAGGTGTAAAATGTGTACATTGCTTACAGCACTGATAAAAGTCCTTCAGGTGGTACAGCTCTACTAGATGGTAACTACAGATTTGATCCTTGGCTTACCTCTTTCAAAAAGATGACCCCTGTCAGGCTATTATCTAGTATGTGCAGTGGGTTTCTTTCATTCTTTTGTCTTGGCATTGACACATATTAATAATAATATATTTGCAGGGGAGGTATAATGGGAGGAAGGGAGAGACTCCCTATAGACCCATGGTTAGTAAGGTTGCATGGGCTAGGGCAGCAGGCTGAAGTTCAGGTACAGAGTCCAAATGAAGCAAAACAGGACCAGGTTTGCAAGGTAGCAACTCTTCTGGTTGCTGGCTTTGCTAAAGTAGATAGGTGACTGTTTGTATCTCCCTCTTGCCTTCCCCTGCCCCCATTGTCATGACAGTCTTCTCTGCCTGTGTCACCTGGCTTCAGTTAGAAATACAGGAATAAACAGGAAAATTACTCACAGATCAATTCTTGTTTTCCTTGTTTAATTTCTTTTCTTTTACTCTCTCTTTTATTTTTCTTTTAATTTAAACCTTTGCCTGTGCGTGTTTGCTATTGTTTCAAATTTATTATTTTCTTTCTCAGCAGACTGTTTGAGAGTCATCCCATCTGTTGCCTACCTGAACCAAGAATCAAATCCTAGAGTAGGACTGTGCTGTACTACTTGGTTGGAGATCTACTGATATCCTAGTATTGGGAAAGACCTAACAGGTAAGTAAAAGTCAATTTATTCAAGGTGCTGAGACCCTTAGAAGAAATTAATCCTATTGCTATGTTCCCTTCTTGAAAAAACAATGGCTGGGAAAAGGTCTATGCATGCACATATGGCTTGCAGGATTTTTTTTAATCCTGAAAGTAGTATCTTTCCACTAAGGGTATGTGCCTGTGAATTGTTTTCTTCTTAGTTTACACACTCCTCAGTCCCTTTTTCGAAGCCCTTCAGGTAAGGCTATCAGAAAAGCCTTCCTTCCATCTAGCTTCCCACTTCTCATGCAAGCTCAGATGTCTTAAGAAAATACAGAGGGATTTCCTTTGGCTGCAATACTGGAAGGAAACAAACCAGAACAATCCAAAATAGGATTGGTATAGCTGCCCTTGGGCTGGCCTTTTTGTTTGTTTCTGATTTTTATTTTTGTTTGTTTGTTTGTTTTGCTCTCCTCTTCAGAATTTTCTTTTCTGCATGTATTCTGCATTTACTTTTGTCCACACTGGAGTGGTAGAGTAAGAGGGCTTGTCTGCAGCTAGAGATTTACTGCTTTATTCGCCCAGGGTAGTTAAGGCAAACTTTCCATCACCACTTGCATCTTCCCAATACAGGTCATGTTATATCAGCTAGAATGTGCTTGTACAGATACTCAAAATGCTGTGTAAAGCCAATTGACATCTATACTTTGGTGTCATATTTATGCAGTAAAACAGTTTGTGAATTAAGAGTTTACCTAACTTTTTAAAAATTGTATTTCAAATAAAATACAAATGTATACTGGGTGACTGTTAAAAGCAGAAGAGATCTTTCAGTACCTCACTACTTCATATTTTGGTAATAATGAAACTAGTACACCTTGGACTAGTGACACACATTGTTACAAAATTAGAATGAAAGAGTGAATTAAAAATGAAGTTATTTTTATACATCTACATATATTTGCTATGTAAGGCCTGACAAACTTCTTCAAAAGAGTTGTCCCAACAGCAATGTTTTTTTCCTCCTATTCAGGTTAAATCTTTTGCTGGCAAGAATCTCAGGTTTTTGCACTTCAGTCCTAGAGCATGGCCTGCACTGTGTAAAACACTGATTGAAAATATGCCTTCCTAAGGGAAAAAATAGTAAAATCATCAACTTTGCCTACAACCTGTTAATTATGATATATTCAAGAAAGGTTCAAGTCTTTATTATGAAAGGATGTTGTTCCTTTTGGTCTTTATGTCTGATTTCGTATGAAAACACAGATTTGTATTGCTTCTGTGTTAAGTGGAAGGTTCTGTGACATCTCTCTGGATCTGGGTGCTGGTTTGCCATAGTTAAGGGTGGAGATCAGTGGTTTATTGTGGAGATGCTGGTTTTAAATTCAGAATTGAGATTGTGATAGAAGCTTTTGGTTTACTGAGATCTCAATTCTCAAAAAATAAATCTCAATAAACTGCCACCTACACTGGGAGTGATTTAAATATTTAATGATGTTGTGGCTGGAAAATGAACGAATGTAGAAAGAACTTCTAGAGTTAACATAGAAATTATATCTTGCCTGTGTTACTTTTAGCTTGTTCTTCATTTCTCTAAGTCACTCTCACACTCTGGGATTGATCCTTTGTTCCTGCTCTTGTTCCCCAAAGTGCTCCCTGCCTGCCTATCAGTATGGACGTGTAATTTTCATCTGTGGAGAATTTTCTAACTTTTTAGTCATAACTGAAAATTTATGTGCTCAGTTCAGCTCAATGAATTGCATGACAAATCTCTAGCACTGCAGACGCCATCAGGGAGACAGAGAGACTGGCCGTCTGTCTTGCCAAGTATCTCAGCAATCCCAGGACAGAATAAGCTTCCTAATGCGACAATGAGCTGTGTTGACTTTTTGATATATTCGGGTACAAAGTTCCCGTTGGAGATTTCGTTTCCGAATGAGAATTTGCTGCAGCTGGGTATCAACACTGGGCTCTCATATCTGTCGGAGAGGGACAGGGAGGGGAAAACATTAGTGCATTTCGGTGCTTTATCAGCCGTGCTGGTGGGTGGTGTGAAGATGAAAAAGGAGCAAGTGTACTTCTCACAGCCTTTAAGGTGTGTTTCTGCATGGGAAGGCTGTGTTCAGTAATACAACTTAAATGTGCACTACTTACCTCTTACTTATTTACCTGAATTGATATGTAATATACACTATTTTGATATATTTATTCTTATTTCAAACCTTTCGCTACTTTTTAGGCTGGAAATGTAACATCACCGTGTTTTTATTTTCTGTGTTGACAAGCAAGCTTGCTTCCTTGTAACCAGATGAATTGTTTAGTTTTCAGACAAAATAAGAATATCCTCTTTGGAATTATATTAAAGCATGATCTGGTCTGGCTGAGAGACTGGTGGGTACACCTTACACAAACAACAGGTGTTCAAATTTATTGCTATGGCTAAAATAGCATTTGCTGAAATATAAATAAAAATCTCTGAGAATGCATGAAAGATTTGAAAATGTGTCCAAGTTTTTTTATTTATATTGCACTTCGATAGCTCATTTCACGTAATAGTGAAATTGTTTTGGCTTACTTGGTTTCAGAAGAAGTGGAGACGAGATAAAATAATTGGTTATCTTCAGTTATGTGTTAAGATGTATTTTTTAATTTTTCCAGGAAAGATCCTTGAATTAAATATAAGCCAACTGATTGTCCATGGATTTCATTTGAACCACAAGTTCTAGGTCAATAAGGCCTTGATTTCTTTTTTGAAATACCAAATCAATTTATGTGAAGGACAGAGCATAAGGTTTAACTTTAGTCTCAGTTTTCTATCTTTAATATGTTTTCTGAATGGAATATCCTGTAATCTGGAATATTAGTGATGCAGACCTTGCTTACTTTGACTATTACCAGTAGCCAGTCACAGGTTGTGCACGTAGTGAAATGAAGCTGGTGAAGAGGAGGACACACCCATGGAAGAGAGGAAAAATCCTGTAATGGCAACTTATCATAGAATCATAGAAAGGCTTAGACTGGAAGGGACCTTAAAGATCTTCTAGTTCCAACCTCCCCGCCACTACGAAATTGGCCACCCATCTTTCTTGTAATACAGTGATGCTGGCAAAAAGACTTTAAATCCTGCAAATCTTCATGTCTCTATGGAATTCTTGTTTCTAATTGTTGTTAGATTTTACTTTTCTGTGTTTATGTCCCATTTTTTCCCTACTTTGCCATTGATTTTGTGGCAAGGAGCTAATGTAAGACAGTGGTTTTGAAAAACACACCCTGTATTTCTTAAGCATCAGCTCAGTGAATCTTCCTTTGAGCTTCAAATCCATTCAATACTCAGGATTTGAGCCAGGGCCACAAGGCAAAACTCTTCTGTTGCATCAAAAAAAAAAAAAAAAAGCAAACAAAAAGCTAGAGGACTTTTAATGATCAAGCAGAGATGATAGGACCTTGGCATATGAAAAACTATGATGTAGTAAATCAAAGCAGGCTGTCTTGAGTTTAGTAATATTTCTATGCTAATAAATTAGTGTCATAAGTGATTTGTCAATAAGATGTAGAATATGCTATGAAGGAAGTCAGACAATATTTTTCTTTCACATAGAAAAATGGGGTGAGGTCATAGCAAAATCCTCAACAGGATTTTTTTATCTAAGTAAGATGTGGGTGGTCTGACACACTGTACAATATTTGCATATTTAAATTCTTATATGCCTAAGATATCCTTATATACCTTGGAAGAGTTTAATGAGAACTTCTATGGTAAGGAGCCACAGTGCTGTAGTGGAGAACACTCCAGTCCAGGGATGTGCAGAACTTCTGAAGCAGTGGCTCCAAAACTTGCTTGATCCAAGCTGTACATGTGGATAGGGTGAAGTTCATGGTCCATTCCACCTTTCTTCTCAGAGATGAACCTCATAGCTGCCACTTTCAACAAGAACTGCATGCCCAAGAAGGGACAGTAACATCTGTCATCACTATTCCCTCACACACAAACCAAACCATGCCCTTCTATGTCACAAACTTTCCAAACTCTCATGCTAATGTAGTGCAGACAAGAACTCTTGCTTCACAGCCATGCACAAAACAGATGTGCTGTCTAAAGGGTGTTAGGCACCTGTCCTGAGGAACCAGGAAGGCAGGAAGGAATTTGAGCTTGGGCCTATGACTGTGCTGGGACCAGTACTGTTGAATATCTTCATCAATGACATAGACAGTGGGATCAAGTGCACCCTCAGCAAATTTGCAGACAAAGCCAAGCTGTGTGGTGCTGTTGACACGCCTGAGGGAAGGGATGCCATCCAGAGGGACCTGGACAAAATCCAGAACTGGGCCCATTTGAACCTCATGAGATTCAACAAGACCAAGAGCAGGGTTTCTGGTATCAATCCAGGCTGGGGGATGAATAGATACAGAGCAGCCCTGCTGAGAAGGACTTGGGGGTGCTGGTGGGTGAGAGGCTGGACATGACCCAGCCATGTGCACTGGGAGCCCAGAAACCCCCCATGTCCTGGGCTGCATCCAAAGCAGTGTGAGCAGCAGGGGAGGGAGGGGATTCTGCCCCTCTGCTCTGCTCTGGTGAGACCCCACCTGCAGTGCTGCCTCCAGCTCTGGGGTCCCCAGCACAGGGAGGATATGGACCTGTTGGAGCAAGTCCAGAAGAGGGTCCTGAAGATGGTCAGAGGGCTGGAGCATCTCTCCTGTGAAGACAGACTGAGAGTTGGAGTTGCTCAGCCTGGATAAAAGAAGGGTCTGGGGAGACCTTACAGTGGCCTTTCAGTACTTGAAGGGGGCCTATAAGAAAGATAGAGACAAACTTCTAGCAGGGCCTGTTGCAACAGGACAAGATGCAATGGTTTTAAAATAAAAGAGGGTAGATTCAGACTAGATATAAGAAAGAAATTTTTTATATTGAGGGTGGCAAAACACTGTCACAGATTGCCTGGAGATGTGCTGGATTCCCCATCCCTGGAAACATGCAAGTTCATGTTGGGTGGGGCTCTGAGTAACCTGGTAGAGTGAAAGATGTTCCTGCTCACTGCATGGGGGTTGGACTAGGTGACCTTTAAAAGTCCCTTCCAATCCAAATCATTCTACTTATCTTTTGATCTGATTTTTCACACCATACCCTATTGCTTACAACCTTCCTCCACTGCTACTTCATATGTACAAAATTGCAGGTAAAAGTCCTGTCTGACCATTTGACACTGCTCTCTGCGGTGATACTAAGGAAAAGCCTTAGGAGGGTCAAAGAATTGTTAAAACTCTAAAGATCCATACTGGTGCAACTTTGATTTGTTTGTTTTAATTCATTCCTGCCTTTAACAGATTTAGAAGTTCTGTGTTAGTACAAAATTTAGAAGTGTTATGTGGATGTCATGCCTCTGGAACTTTCTGGTTCAGCAGCAGAAGAAATGGAAGCCTTCTATTAACCTACCTAACAAGTATGATGCCGAGAAAAGAGGTTCCGTCCTTCTCAACATCCACAGAGTTTGGAAGGGTAGAAGGCCGGTTTATTTGCTATATTTTTCAGGGCAAGCTTACTAATCTCTACTAAGACCTTCTTTTGTAGTAGTAAGTCGGGTTCCCTGCAGTTTGGACCTGTTAGCCAGAGCACATCAGCCAGTGGCTCAGGAGCAGGTCTCCGAGGCAGAACTCCAGCACATCCTTTCACGCCTCATAATATATATATTCAGACCCACCTCTGCATTGTGCCCTGTGATTGCAGTTTCTTTTTGTGGGTTTCTGATTTCAGGTCGTGATTCCTGGGTAGATGCTTATTCCTATCTCTGGCTACTGACCCTTGGTTTGACTTTCTGGGTCCTGAATTTTGGCCACGAACATTCGGCTCCTTTCCCAGCCCTGGACACGGGCCCTAACCTTTGGGCTGAATAGCCTGGGCTCCAGTCTGTAATCCTAGATGGCCACCAGGTCATCTGTAGTAGACTGTACTCTAATTTATTCAATCACAAATGAACTCTAAGAGATAAGTTTGGGTGTTGGTTTTGTTTTCTTTTTTTTTAAATTATGACAAGTGTAGCTATTTATTTATTAACTGGTCTTTTATCTGTATTTTGCTAGATTGCTAAATGTGAACTTCTACTTTCCGTTAGTTATCATATTGTTCTAATGGCCATCTTTTCTTTGGGGAGAATATAATCATATCTCAGCCAGTGGAGCAAGTGAGCAGAACTGTTAGCATTTATAAAAATTTCAAATTGGTGGCTATAAGTTGAATAAATTACATCAGAAAAGGCAACAGCATCAGAACTTCCATTGCATTTCTATATGAAATGTTATAAATGTTACTGATATACATGTATGCATGATCTACTTTTTCTTATGGGAGTTCATAATGTCATGCCAACACACATGACATAAGAGTGTAAACAGACACTCAAACATGGTCAGACCTGTAAGAGTGTCATGACTGAAACTTGATGAAAATATGAGTTATGAAATCCACAAAGTATGAAGATAAATTTCCAGAAAGAGGAAGAACTGAAACTTATAATGTGTGTTAAATGTTCAGGTGGAAGAAGGGTCAGATTGCTTTGGCAGGAGAATAAATGGAGAAGGAGTACAAAGCTGAGTTGTAAAATGAACTTAATCAGTTACAAGTAATATGGAATAAGCAATAATGTGAAGCTGAGTGAAAAGAAAACTGCTTTTAGATATCCTATATATGTTGCATTGCTCATACACAAAGATGGTATAGCATAGACATTTAAATACACATGCTCAACAGAAAATAAAAGTCACAAGATCTGGGTGAATTTTATTTCATTTTGCCCATCAGAAGTTCAGGAATAAAAAGTTCCCTGTTGATGCAATGTTTTTGCTTTGTAATATTTTGATGGTGCTAGGTATCCAAAATCACAGTAATAAATGATCCGTCTGTCCTGTTCCTGTGTCAAAATATGTGACAGTTGTCAATCTAGGAAAAGTGTGCTTGTTACTTTGCTGTAGCTTAAAGGCAAGTTATATTATAGTCTGTTGTTCATAGCTGTTTCATAGAAATGTGAAGCTTGCTTAATTTTAGAGCTTAAATCAAGGTACATCAATATGGAAACATTTAGATTAACTTTTTTATTAAATTATACAAACTTCCTTGCTAAACCCATCTCCTTATGCCCTTTGACAAGAGAAACTGTCCTTTACTAGAGTAGTTTTCCTCTAAATACTTTTTTTTTCCTCTGAAGCAGGCTAGCTCAGATGAGGGATAGCAAGTTGTTTGTGGAATTTAGCTAAGATGAGACTCTCCTTTACTTTGTGTAAGTGAAGAGGATGGTGGAAGCAGCAAGTTTAGTGTATTGCTTTGGTGTGTTTCTTCCAAATTGGTCATGTACCTTAATAAGATTTTACATACTTTTGTTAAACTATCAGTTCAGAGAAGGAAATAAAACAAGTGCCTTCTTCAATTAGTTGCCGTCCAGCTAAAATTTGTTAGTATAAAAAGCTACAGCAGAACAGCAGGGTATAGCTTTTGTCTAAACTGAGAATTTTTACTTAGTGTAAAGCTCTTTAATGCAACTGCCCATGATTTCATGTGACATTGACCATGCGTAATGACATCTTTTTTTCCCCCCTCCAAATGAATTAAAAATGGAAAGTACTTCCAGTACCTCTTGGTAGGTACCAAGAAGTCAGATCCCTTGGTACCACAGAGGTCCTTTCTTCATTACAGGCAGGTAGTTTCCATTATTCATGCTGGGTACCATTTCATTTAAAGTCCCACCATTACTTAAAAAGCAAAATATTAATGAGAGATGTTACTGGAGTGCAGTCTTTTAATTTGATATTGTTCGATCCAGCTGTTTTAAAATTTCTAAGAATAAAGCTTCCATTACCTTATATTAGAGAAGATTTTTATAGGCAAGAACATCTAATTCTTGTCTAGTTTCCCTTGATAGCCAATTGCCTTTCCTAAATCTTCACTATTTACTTCTTGGTTAATCCTTTTGCTTTGCTTTAAATAATTTCTCTGATTCCTTGATATCCATACATTGCAGTTAGTTATATATAGATATTTTTCATACCACCCCCATCCACTTAGCTGGTGAGTAGCCAAGTAATACATACTTAGCACTTTTAATTTTACCTCATAAATCAATCATCGTAGCTGCAAAATCAGTTATATTTTTTCTTAAACCGTCATTCAATATAAAGAGTCCATTATGCATGTCTGTGAATAATATATTAATTGTGTGGTTTAAAATCATAAACAACATTACACAATTAACTACATAAAATTGCTCACTTTGAAAACTGTATAACTACAATTTCTATAATAGTAGCTAAAAGACGACAGCATTAAGCCAGGCATTGTCACTCTGAATTGCCACTGGTAAAGCAGAGGCCTCTTAAATGTGCAATTATGATAAAGGGAAAGTGTATTCGTTGTTTCAGATTTATTGCTTTAAGTACTTTTCCAAAGGTTTTCACCTTATTTTGTATTGCTGTGCACTAATGGTGTGAGACGAGATTACTTCGGTGAATGGCTTTATTAATGTAAAGAAATATTACTAAAGTTTTTTTTATAACTGGATTTAAATATCTTTTTCACTGTGCTGTATTCTCTATCAGGTTGTTAAAAAAAAATAAAAATTACTTCTTTACTGATTTGGCTCTTTTGTTCTTGGCAAATATTTCTTTTTCTCTTGGGATGGAGATAGGGATGGAATGAATAGCAGGATCTACAGGAAAAGAGAACACAATCCAAAACCAGAAGTAAGCATATTTATATGTTGATAATTATTTGTTCCAAGTTTGAAGACTAAACTGGGATCCAGATTCCATAGGCTAGACAGAGTGTTAATGTTTCCAGTGAAGATATTCCTGCTGTATTATGGCATGGTTAGATAAGGCAGAGAGTCGAAAAAGGCATTACCATTCTTTCAAATCTGGTAAACTGAGGTAGGAACAGAGAAGAAGCAATCTGTCCAGTATGACAGAATTCAGCAGGAGAATCAAGAGTGTAAGCTCCTGCCTCCCTGTTGAACTGATCTACAAGACTGTATTTATTCTATAATCTGTTTTTATGCTCTTATCTATTTAATCTTCCCCTCATACCAATTTTTATAAGTATGTCTCCACAGAGAACTCCAGCGTAGGAAATGTTTCTGCAGATGAACCCTGAGGTTTTATAGTAACACTGTATAATCATTACACGGGAGGTACTCGGCGCTAAAATGGTGCAAATTATCATTAGGAGTGAATCATTTCAGCCCAGGGAAGGAAGGTTTGCTGTCTGCCTACTGCCTCCTTGCCATCGCTCGCCCTCCCCAGCAGCCGCTCCCGTGGCATTACATAATGTCACATATGTTCGGCCAGATTGCCCGGTCCTGCTGGGGGCAGGGGAGGCACCGCGAACGGCACCCCCTCACCCTCCTCCTGCCGTCATGGGGAGGAAAATCCCGCTTGGGATTTGCCTATAGGGCTTTTGGAGCATGGGAGACTTTGCTTCCTCGCGTATACTCCTGCAAAGCGCAGGGAGGGAAGAGATGCTGAGAGCCGCCACCCGCCTCCCTTCCCACGGCTGGGCTCCCACAGCCCCCCGGAGCAGGATGGTACTGAGGGGCTGTGCTCCCCTTTTTCCCAGAGCTGCTGCTAAGGAAAGGCTGCACACCAGCTCCTTTCTTAGCTTGCCTCATGCCTCTCCCATCCATTTTTCCCTGTTATTCCTCTCCGACTAACAGAGATAAGTTAGCGCTGCAGTCCTGTCACCTGGATACTCACAGACAAGGGCTGTGTGGTCAAAATCAGGGTCTTACAGCCATTCTTAACCTTTGTTGCATAAAAAGTATGGGCCACTCACAAGTTGGACTCGATAATTCATGCAGGTCCCTTCCAACTCAGAAGATTCTGTGAAATAGCTGTGAAAAAATAAACTGGGGGAAGTTATCCCATGGCTTGTAACTGTGGTATAGAAATACACTCAAATGAAAGCCCAGGCATGGAATTAATGCATTTGGCATCCTACTACGCAAAGTAAAACACAGCCACTAGCTCTTTAGTGTGGTGTACTGGTTATTTCACAGGTTATTTGTTTAAACTGAAAATCCCAACACTGCTTAATTGCCCTGTATGTGAAACTCCAGATCTGCTACAGTTCCAGATTTATAAAACAGAGAATATAGGCCTATTAATTTTACAGTCTAATTTCTGATTAGATTTTACAGCACCTCTGATGAACTGCATAGATTTCACCCATTAAAAATGATGACAATTCAGTTCTGTCATTTTAAGTAGAATTAAAGCCAGTATTGCCAAGTATGATAATATCTTATGAAAAAAGTGAACCAATATTTATATATATATATATATATATATAAAATAAAATAACCCGGCACCATATTATTTCTCTATAGGAAGATTGCACTTGCCAAGACAGTGGGACTGTTACCTGCTTGTGCAGTCAAGAGCCTTTGGGTCTGACAGCTGACATCAAAAGGAATTCTCCATTCAGGCTGAGCAGGTTAAGTAATGTTTCCTAGCACAGCTGTGTAATGTGGCTGTTGGTAATTAAAAGACTCCACTAGAGCTTATTAAGGAAAAGTGTGAATTGTTTTCTATCAGAAAATAGTTTTTTTTTAAAAAAAAAAAATCTCTGCAATGTCTATGCTTTGCTTTAGAAGAAACTAAGAAAAGGGTGTTTGGTTGTTGTTTTTTTTTTAAGAGGAAAAAGAAATCCAACACTAAAACAGTCTGTTCTTGACTTTTTTTAGATGCAAACTTAAATAAACACCCCCAAACCCAAAAATGGACATGTTGTAATATGAAAATAAAATTTCCATTTTCTTTATTGTCAATTTTAAATTTGGGGAAGGGCCCTATTCCGATTTGAAACAAAGCCATATTCTGAAACCAGACGTAAAATGACATTTGCACTTGTGAGATGACTTTCTGTTTGCATTTGAAGATGCAAGGTACGTTTTTTAGCTCTGATTTGCTACACTAATCCTGTTGACTTCGCTTGAAAAGAATGGCACGTTTCCCACTAACTTTATTAGTGGCAGGATTGGGCCTTGATGCAATACCTCATGTCACAGCAGCAAAACT